ATTGACTTCTTCCTTGTACCGGTTCGCCTAATACTAAATGCTAGAAACGATCGAAACCCATCAGTGATTCAATGGTTCGTGAGTCATAGGTCTTGGGTTAATTACTGTTAAATGATGTCAGGTCTTGTGTGCTTCATATGGAAATTTATTAGCCGATGCAAACTTTCCAGTAAAGTCTATTTGCACTTGTTTGAACGTGTACTACAAAAGAGACTTAATTTTGTGATCTGTTTTAGCAGATGCAGATCTAAGAAATCAATAAAATAATAGAATAAACCATAAAAATTCTGAGAACCAAATCGTGAAAAAATACAATTAATTGTTTTCCAATTCGTGTTGCATCGTATGAGTCGTATAAAAAGAGAAAAATAAATCGAGTATGAAAGATTTGAGTAAAAACAGAACTGGATGTATTTAATCTTGTTATTTCGATGAGTTATACAATCTGTACACTAAATGTCATATCCATAAAATATTCTCTCTCCTTGTACACGTAGTACTCCTTGAAAAAGAACATGCAAATGCGTTGGAAAAAAAAGTAGTTATTCATAGCCGTTTCTATTCGAACAGTTACACAAATACAAATCAACTGTTTTATTATCCATATTGACTACAACCGACACGAACACATTTTTTACACGTTCTAATCTTTAGGAAAAAAAAACTTAAGGATAACTTGAAGAAACTACATTTGAACACTGAAAATATTGCGCATGAAAAATGACCGATCCCAGTTTTCATTACTTTCCTTATTTAGATCTTATTTTGCAATTATTACGACCGACGTGGATTTAAAAGGTCACTCGAAATTCTTACACATTAAGAAGATTAATATTGACATTTAAACAAAGCAGTTCCTTCGTTTTCATCGCAGTTCTCATTTATACCTTATTTCGCAATTATTGAAATCAACCTGGAGCGAGAAGATCACTCTGAATTGTTACATATTAAGAAAATTACCATTTCCATTTAAATAATGCAGTTCCCTTGCTTTTACTGTTCCCATTTAAATCTTAATCTACAAATATTGGAATCAACGTGGAGTTTAAAGGTCATTTGGAATTCTTACATATTAAGAAACTCGATGTTTCCATTTGAATAATGCAAACGATGACTTCGCCTACCGAAGTTCGTGTACATAGGTGATTACATATTGCTCATTTTAAATACGCGCCCATTGATCCTAGCGTTTTACTATATACATTAACAGTTTTATTGCTCCGTCGTGGCAGTTATAAATCGAGATTTTTCCCAACGACGAGCGTCGTTCGCTAGATTCGCTTCGGCACGTTTGTGCATACTCGCGTACTTCGTTTATTTGAGTTCTTAATGTAACGAATCGTTACGTGGCGTCTACACGCACGAAGCTGGCCGTGATAATTCACGGCGCAACTGTACTTACAAGCGTTTTTGCAGCCGCGTTGTCGCGATGCTTTGTAAATGAAACGCGAAGGAATGGAAGCAGCCATTCGCTGCGGTGCACCTCGAGCTGCGAAACGAGTTAGCTGGTTATAAATGACGATTGCAAAATAAACAATTGCTAATGCAGCGTCCTCGGCATCCTATCTTCTTCCCATTTAGTCGCCAGTCCAGTCGAACTTCACACGTTCGAGACCGGTAACGCGGTTCTACGCCATTTTTGGTACTTCAACACGTTGAATGCCATGGGGGTCACCCGGTGGCCCCCGATCAAATCGAATTACTACAGTTCATTTAATTGAAAGACGATTATTTGACAACATTTCTATGTTATAAACAATGCTACCGAATGCGATGACACTGAGCAAGATCAGCGCGCAATAATAATAACGCAGTTCGATCAAATGATTTAATATTATATTTTTTCCATTTTGTGCATTTTGTTCTATGAAATCGTGCGGTGTTCAACGTGTTAAGACATTAGCCGGATTACTTGTTTGTTTTCACTAACTTCCGCTTTTACCAAACTCAATTTAACCTAACTTCTAATACGATCCAACACCATTGTTCTATATTTGTTCCATTATTAGGTCGTGTAATATGAAATGTCGGATTTTACCGAAGGAAGGAAACACGATTTGATGTTTCAGAGGACGATTATTCACCGGAAATATGCTCTATTTGATTCGATGCGCATCTGCCAATGCGTTTTAATGAATATATTCCTTTCTTGAGAAATTCTGAATGATTTGAATTAATAAATTCTAGACATCGTTACGAACTACTGTTCCGAGTTTATCGCGTGACTCATTTTGCAAAGGATCAGCATCAGTTTTAAGTACTGATACAACAAATTGAAAAATGTATTAATGAAGGAAAATATTCTGAGAAATAAGAAAATCCTTCTGCCTTTATTTGTGTAATACTATTTTGAAGAGTCTGGCACATCATAAGACAAGCTGTTAAATAGTAAAATACTATTACATTAATTTATACGAATTTCCCTTTGAATGGCATTTACATTAACATTAGAACTACCAATTACTTAAACTGACTTTCACAAATTTCTTTATAAAAACCATAAGCGTGCGTTTGTTGAGATTTCAATTGTTAGTTCCGTTAATAATTTTTCGTTGAAGTATCTGTACCTTTTTAGTAATCGTTTGTTATCCAAGAGGAAATCGGGAATAAGTAATTCTGACCCATTTGGTAGTTCCAGTGTCAGTGTCCCTTGGAAATTATCAAAATACGTCGAACACGTTCTCGTCAGGAACGCTTTACACGTCGATATTGCTACTCTTGTTACACCCGCCGAACTCGAACAGATCACTCGAGCCTGCCATCTTACTTTCTCGCGAGCGTGTGTCTCGCTCGGCCGGTATCTTAATTGCCATCGCGTTTGGTGTCACGAGAGAGCTACTCTATGGTCCCGAGAAGTAGCTTTCTCGTGGAGGCTACTGTATTACGGACACATCCCACTTCCTGTCGTTAATGACCGTGTAACGATGCGTCTAAGATTCTCCACCTACAAAAATATACACACACATGCCCCGCGCCCTTAACAAGAATACAATTCATTTGCACTTTGTGGGTCAGCAGCATCCTTGGATATTACGAAAACAATCAAATCCTACGAGAATAGAGTCCTTTGTGCCATCCAACTTTTTGCTATCGTTAATTGCACTCGACGTGTAGCCTGGTCCAGCTTTACAATTAAGTTATTACAGAAAAATGAAGTGTAACAGATGAAATACGTTTATATTGTTAATGCAGGAAGTTGGTTATGGCTGGGAACTATTATTAGAAACTGTCAAGCAATGAACCCTTTGCACTCGATTTATTTTCAATGCTGAATGTAAACTTGCATTTATTTTTAGGGAAATGAATTAAAGTAATTTACAGCGGTAGGTCAACGTTTTATATTTATTTTATTTATTATTATTATAGGATTTGATTTTTATAATCTTTTAAAGTGTGCTAATATTTCAAAGAATTTCCAACGTTCTATAACAAATTTGTATTGTCATCTCTCAATTAGTACTCTATGAAGTATGTTAAGTTTTAAACATAAAAGACAATTAAGCTTTAGTATTCCCTAGGTATTCAACATTAAATCCGATAACAATTGATTTTATAGGTGTTTAGCATTGAGCAGCCATATTGGCTGATTTTTAATTCGGGTTAAAAATTACAAGAATACATTTGTCACAATTTCGAATAGTTTAGACTTTAGCATACACACGAGTAAATTAATTTACTTAATCATTTCTCGGTAAGGTATTCTTTCCTTTTTAATAATTAGAAAGAAAGAAATTTGAAATTAATAATTTTATTCGATCTGACAGTTCTAGTATTAAATGATCCTTATTAATGTCTGCGCAGAACACTATCTTTCAATTAACCGTTTAAAAACGTTTCATAAAGTGTTCAGAAACAATGTCGATTGCTCTGTATTTTGTAATTCGCAATACATTATGCACTGCCTCTACCAAGCAGACTGACATGGACAGGCTGGCTTTGTTCCAAACTATAATGCACGAGTCAATGATGCCATCGAAGAGGACAAAGAGCATTTGTCTCATCTTTTCCGAATATTCTTCATACTATATTGCATTATTTCGCAATGATACCGGGAATTTCGTTCTTTTTCACTCAGCAGACAGTTTAATTTGATTGTAATATCATCACAATTGAATAGTACACATACTGATATACTAAAAATAATATCCGGTAATATTTCGTAAACTTACAAGTAATTATATAAATTTGACTAAAATTTTAATATTTCGATGTAATTTTTTCCACCGTTAAAAATAAATTTATTTATTGAGTATTTCATATTAAATATATTAAGTTTTATTATTACTTTTCAATTGACCGTGCAATTTTATGTTTCAATTTATTCGTCATCTCCTTCCTTACGATCCTTGTTCCTAATTAAATTTACATTAAATGATTCACTAGATTCTGTGCATTTAATTGCATATATTACAATTGTATTCGTATACAGTATGTAATCACGTAGACTAATTAATGAATAAAAAGTACATAAATATCTACGATAACGATCGCTACTAAGAATAACTCAAAATGTTAACAAATGATCCTAGCACTGACAAATAGTCCTAAAAATACACTTTTTCGTATGTTCTAAATCTATTCAATGATTTATCTTCTTTACTTGGGACAATTGTTGAAAAAATAACAAATTATTCTCTAAGAAAATATTAAAGAAATTATTTTTGTAATACGCAAACTGAATTATAAGTCAGTCGAAATTTCAATAGATACACTTTTAGAGCTCCTGTACAAAATTTTGGAAAAGACAATTCAACTGTTGGATAGTTCTAGTGTCAACGGTTATCATGTTAGCCCTTGTACAAAAATTCCACACGACATGAATATTCAATTAATAATTTATAACATGTTTTCACACTTCGGGATTATTGCCTGGGTTACATCCGACTGAATTGCTAAAATATCACTCTTCACGACGGCCATTAGTATGTTAATTAAATGATGAATGTGAAATTTCGATTCGCGGTCATTCATACCAACCTCCCTTATTTTTCTGTTTGCAGGCTACGCGTTCACGTTCTGCCTGACGAGTGCTCCGCGACGAGGAAACACTGACAATTCCGAAAAACAGGTAAGTGAGTCGCTTTGATTTGCGGGGAATGAAAAATTGCCGGTGTCGCACTAGTTTACGGTGCATGAGTGCGAAATTTATTGGATGTAGAGGCGTTTCAGTTTGATTTAATCAAACAGTAACAGGTTCTACGATAGAAAATAAGAGAAATACGTTATGTAAACGTAAGATTGTAAATGCTTGATTAGAAAATTGTAATAAAAATATAGAATTATAAATGACTGTCTTTCTGATGGATTCTATACGAAAATGTTGACGTATATAAGTACATTAACATGACAGTTGACTAATTTTCAATTTTCCTCGAAAAAATAGAGGTTTTGTGAAATATTCTTGGATCAATTAAATATTAATATTTGAAGGATTGCTATTAATAATTAACAGTAATCAGTGCTAGTAATAGCAGTTATTAGTGCGAATAATCGACAATGATTCATATTATTACTAACAATATTAGTATATTTGTGCGATTTCGTTGAATCAAGTCAAATTGTACAAAAAGAAATTAAAATCGTGCGAAAACCTCAACAAATTTAGGTGATCTTGTTGAATGAAATCAAATCGTATAAAAGGGGAACTAAATTTTGTTCTAATTCACGTTACATCAAAAACATGTGAAAACCATAAAAAAAATTTGAGTCGCTTCGTTGAAACAATTTAAATTATGTATATAAGAAACAAAATATTATTTTAATTCACGTTGAATCAAAATCGTGTAAAAATAGAATTGAGTATGTTTTGAACACCCTGTACATAATATATATAAAATATAATATATATATGCGCGGGGAACGAAGCCAGCCAGAATAATCTGAGTTATCGATCGGCTCAGTTGCCAACTTGGCAACGGTGAACTCCCGGAATTACGAATGAAATGTTCTACATAACGAAACAGTTCGCAAATCGAGCCTTTCATACCGTCGCGGGAGAGAGAGTACACCGAACTCCAACCCCCTCCATCCTTCCTCTCTCTCTCTCTCTCTCTTTCACTCCCATTTGAATGTTTATATTTAAACTATTTCGTTGGTAACAAGTCATGCCGACGATTGTTTGTTTACAATTGAATTAAAATAACGAATGCGTGAATGAGATACGTTAACACGTTGACTGCCACAGTGGTCACCGGTGACCGGAGCTTCCAAATTGCTTGAAAACAATTATTAGAAAATTGATATTGCATTGAACTATCTAGTAACATCAGAGGTTAGATAATAGTGTAATATGAGTACTGCAATACCAGAACATTAATAATTACTTCTAATACTAATTTCCTCTATCATAAAGGAATAAATCTTACTATAACAAAACGCTCGAAATTCTCGTGACAGTCGACGTGTTAAACGAAAAGATGTTGCTGAACATTTCATATCCGAATGAACCTTTTGCACAGTGAGATTCTTGAGAGAACAATGTTTCAATTTCTTCTTACTTGTAAAGTTTCAATTGGATATCGAAAGATTAATTCGCATTTCAGAATTACAATCTATGCTTCTTGTTCTTTCGTTCGAGTGTTTTGAGCAGTTCGATGGTTCGATCTTGTTTATTTTAAGTGGGCTGAGTTGCTCGATGATGTTGGGATAATGCTTGTATCATGATTAAACATGTTACAGTAATGAAAGCAATTATTATTTGCCATTTATGGATATCGAGTTTCTGCGGTAAACGTGTATTTCGAACACGCGCGTATTCTTTATTTCTTGTAGAAATGATTAAAGCGCTTTAGTGACTCTTGGGAACCTAATTGTGAAATAAATGATAAGATAAGGGAATGAAATGTAAGTGTACGAGAGATAATGCTTCCTATTTATATAAAATGCCCTGCGCATTTCTTACCCAGAAGGGAACAAACGATGATTAGAAGATTAAGATCGAGATTCTTTATTGTATCCTGGATTTATCTCATGAAACTGTGGAGATTGATGCTAAAATTCAAATAAAAAAGGGGTTGTATACGAAAATCTGCATAAATTAAAGAATTTAGTATAATCTATTTCATTCGTAACTATCTGTTAATCTCTAACTTGGGATAGTTGATACATTTATATCTCTTAATTTCGTGGAACTAAATGAAATGAAAATTTATTAGAATTTTGATATTTAATCTATGTTAAAGTGAATGCAGAAATACTCCTAATACAGAAAGTAATGGTATATTTCATTCTTTCGTAGAAATTAATGTTTAACATTTTTAATTTTGTTTGTTTCTACGAAAAATTCTATCGTATAATGTTTACACATTTTTTATCAAATTAGAACGAAAATATTTAAATTAAACACTTTTCTCTTGATTTTTTTTTAATTATCTTTTGATCAAGTTCTCGTTTTATTTGGCAATTTTCGTCCGTTTCCGTCGATTTAGCGCGTTTTGAGGAATGACTGACATGGCTTAAACGGTTATTCATTTACGAGTGACGCCGTATATTGCAAAACAACACTGTCAGTCGTATGTGAGTGACACGAAACGTGTTTAACAATTACTCTACACGTTTAATGGGATGCACACTGTAGACGTTTAAAGCGTTACAAAGCATCAAATGTCATTACTTCAGATTTCAATGCAAATGCAGGCTTTCGCGCGAGAAACGAACAGAAACAAAGTATGAATTTACTTACATTTTATTCGATTTAGTTTTATCTTTATCAAGTAAATAAAGAGAAGAATTTTAACTTCAGAGAACTCACTGATAAGAAATCCAATTCTTAAATTAAATTCTTATTTTACTAGTAAATATATTTTGCAATTAAATACTTCTCATTCTTTAGTATTATCATAGTTAATTATATTTTATTATAACTTTAGAGAACTAATTGATACAATATTTAGTTGTTCAATTTAAAAATTGTTAATTTGTAAGATGAGATATTTTATCATTAAATACGTTTTCTATTTTTTAGTATTATTAGGTGTACCTAATTAGTGGATCCTAATTGTTTTAAATAGTATTATAAATAACTGTCATCTTCGAATATTTCAATACTCCTATTTGTTTTATTGATAAGTACACATGTTAACTTGTGCAATATGTTTTGTTGAAATCTATGTATACACATAAAAGACCGTACAGCCGTCTAACGTTTTAGGTTCACATGTTTATTCAGCCTGGATGTCCGTACGTTTTATAACGCATTCTAACGACCTGTACACGCGACGTTTTCCAAGAATACGCATAGTTTTCTTCTAACACGCAGGAAGTGAACTGTTGTTCGTTAGCCACCCAGATGCGTGGAAATTATAAAATATTAGGTCTAACTATAAATAACTTCCGTTTTCCTCTATTGAACTCACGTCGATCCCGGAGGCTATAAAATTTAATTCAATTCATTACATATTTCCAATCGTTATCTAATCATATAATTGATAATTTGGCCCGGTATTTTTAATATAATACAGTAGATTTAACAATTTACTAGTATCCGAGATGTTATTTACAATTATTTATGGCTACCTGCTGCATGTTTAACCTGTCAAATAAAATATATTTCGCTGTCATGAAACACAGATCGCGATTCACTAAAATTCACATTATTTAACACACTTCTTATATAATGGACTTTATTACCTTTCGAAATCGAATAATTAACGCTTCCTCTAGTCGAAGTTCCTGCCTTATAATTTACACGATTTAATTATGATCTCATGACCAATAAAACGAAATACGAAATAGAATTTTAAAATTGAATTTTTTAAATTTTTTAAATTACTCAGTTTGCTTTAAATGTTACAAAGTTATGAGTCCGCAGATTTTCATGTATAATCAAACTTTTAAAAATATTATTAGAAATTTAATGTAGTATCATATAATTTATAATATAATAAACATATAATAATGCATAATATAACAAATACAATAGGAACTATTTTCGAAAGTAATTCTATATTTAATAATTATATTTTTCAGTTATACACTTTTTCACAATAAATACTATAAAAAGCACTATACCGTAGATATTTCATCCTTTTCCCTGTTACATACATTTTGTACAATTTCGCACTTACATACTAATTTCCCATAATTGCATAAAAATTCGCTGTCCAGTTACAAGCATTCAAACTATACGTGTACGGTTTTCCGTGGCGTTTCACCTATACCCACGCAGAATTCTGTTTACACGAAACGCGCGCACTTCAATCGATCTTCCATGAATAGTTTCATCGGCGGGAAGCCGGGCGATCGTTCGCGTGACACGTTAAGAATGAAACTGCTTACCATTCTATAAGTTTATTGACGTCGGTTCGTTCACCTCAGCGAGCCCGAGTTCTCGTTTGCTAAAATAATTATTGCCGGCGACGTTATGGCCCCCGAACGAACAGGTTGTCGCTCCTATTCGAGGAAGTTACGAGCGACGAAAAATCACCAGGATTACGTTAACCATTCGAAAATTTTTCATCAGAAATATCTAACATTTCCGAATGAGATAGAAACGACATTCTTTGAAGTTGACTAATTAGAAGATATACATAAGTTAAAGAATTTTATCTTATTTGAATATTTTCTATTATTTTATTTCAGCATTTCGTAAATATATGCATTATACAAACTTTAATATTTCATATTAGAGTTTATAACGTTTGCTTTGTCAAGTCAAGTGGTGCTTGATAGTCACCTCTCGAGTGTAAAGTGCTGAAAGACGATTTCCAAGAGCCAGAACTTCTTGTGGTTTATATTAAAAATTTAGAAAAAATTTTTGCTGATTTACCAAAGCTCATTTTAATACTAAAATTAGAAAGTTAAAATAACCCGTGATTTCTTTTTGCGGTTATTGAGGAGATAACAGGTAATTCTCTGGAAAATTAGTGAAGAAATCGATTTAGCAGTACGTAAACTGAATTGTAAGTCTCAATAGATGCACTCTTCGAGTTTCTACAGAGGAATTTTAAGCAGTCAATGTGACTGTGGGGTAGTTGTAGCGTTAAAGACATCTTAAAACTAATAACAAATTTTGATCTTTATACATCTTTCATTTTTACTTTATGTAGCGTGATTACACATCTGATGTTG